TGTTTCAAAGGGAAATTACACATGGAAACTCTGTATTTTCATCAGAAAATGTCCTGTAATCTACACTGGCACCGTCATGGAGGTCTACTAATTACTGCAGTATCTAAACATACCAAAATAAAGTCAAAATCAATAGTGTGATCATACTTAAAAAACAAACAAACAACATTTTCAAATATTGTATCTTTGCCTATGTGTTTAAGAGCATGCACATCCAAAACCAGTCATCAGGTCCTTGAGAAAAACTCGCTGTTTTTCTGCCATACAAAGTGATTTAGTCTGGTTTGAGCTACAGTGCAAACTGGGAGACTGTCCTCCAATAAAAAAACAAGTCCATATGTTTGTGGGAGAAGCTTATAATGACCAGCAGCACTGTGTTATAGTTAGGCAACCTCTAATCATAGCAGCTGTGAGACGAGAAAAGGAGAAGTTAGTTTAATCGCTTTACAAAGTGATGAAGTCCATGTTAGGATGGGTCAGAAAACACAGGTGTTTTCCCACAGGAAACTGAATCATGGAGACACCATCATGTTTCACAAATGTTAACTGCTTGTGAACTGCAGCTAAATGTGTCCTCCAGGGCATTGTTTGATTATGACATTTGTTTTGATGAAATAACACACAGTTGGTGTTATTTTGCATGGGACAATAACAGTCTTCAGTGGTGTGCTTACAGTAAGACAGCACTGTTTAGCTGATGAATGCTCACTATAAATCAACACTGTGATAAGACAAACCCATTCTTAAGTACTGGTGACAGACGTGCACAGTTTCCAGTCAAAACCAGCACAGAAAGGAACAATTTGTGTTCAGATGTGATTAATCAATCAGGCAAATCAGTGAGGACCTCCGACACACCGGCCTGCCTGGGTTTAACATCTGAAAGCACTGTGAACCAGTTTGTTACAGACGTAACATTCAAAATGCTGAATTTCATAAATAAAACCAGATTCTAACCTCATTTTTCTGTTTACAGTTCATACAACATATCCCAGTCTGCCCCCATGTTATCAACAAGGAAGGTCTAAAAATGAATAAAATGCTGACCAAAAAAAACTTGTGTGGTAAAACAGAAAGTATGCATTGATAAATAAAATGATCTTCACCTGTTACTGTGTGCAAAGTCCTCTACTTACAATACATTTCAGAAGGAGCAGCCTCTGACACCAACCTCTAGGACTTTAACCTTAAAATAATTCTGCACGACGTGGTGAGTGAGAGTCAGCTAAACTATGTTTTGCTAAATCCTAACTACCGGAAGCATCTACGCATCTACAGTGGCTCTGTGTGTGTGTGTGTGTGTGTGGTACCTCTGTGTTTTCCTTCACTCATAGCCTGATCCACACTGATACTGCAAAAGCTCCACTCAGTCCTGTCTGAGTTTTACATCTTTGCTATTTGCTAATGCACAGAAATCTTTCTGCTTTCACCTTCGACCCACACTTGGTGCAACGTCTCTGATGTGCACAGAACCAGCATTTCTACATATCCACAAAGCGTCGGTTGATTTAAACTGGCCAGAGAACAATGTGGCTGTTTGTTCATTCATTATATAAGTTCAAAAGTACAGTAGTTACCTTTGAATGTGAGAACTGTCACACTCAGATTAACTGATCACCAGAAAAAAATGCTGATATGAAAACATTCAGCACAAACAAACAAATAAATAAATAAATAAAGTAAAAACAGATCACAGATCACACTCCTGCCTGAAACATTCATTGCCGGTGTTTGAGGTGTGATTTTTTTTTTTATACCCCATAGCAAAGGTTAGCCAACCAATGACTGGGGGGAAACGTTAATATTATTGTTTATTTTTTAAACCAGGTGCAACATGAATGACAGTTTTACTGCTGCTGCAGGGACCTCTGGTATAGTCCATCTATTATCTACACCACATATCCTGAATAGGGTCACTGGGCAAGAGGCGGGGCCCACCCTAGACAGGTCGCCAATCTATCACAGGACTGACATGTAGACATGCACAGCCACATACACTCACTCCTAGGGGCATGTCTCTGGACTGTGGGAGGAAGCCAGAGCACCCAGAGAGAACCCACACAGGCACAGGGACACTCCAGGTGCAGATTCCTCACAGACTCCTGGGTCCTGGGCTCGAACCTGGAACCTTCTTGCCGTGAGGCGACAGCACTAACCGCCACAACACTGTGCCGCTCTCTGACATAGTCATGGATGCATCATGAGACAATGGGCCCCTGGGCACAGACATATGAAAGCCCCCTACTGCTCCTACACTCCTGAGAGCAAGTTTCATAGATTGAACAACGACAGGATTTATTTATCGTCTCTTTGTGTCTTCTTGTAATTGTTTTGCATTTGTTTTTAGCCATTTAGAGTTAATTCTTCTTTGTTTTGCACCTCATTGTAGTCATTTTGTCTGTTTTTGTCATTTTTGCATATTTCTGTAGTTGTTTTACTGTTACTGGCATCTTTTTAGTCATTCTGTGTCTATTTTAGTGGTTTTGTATCTTTTTATGCCTTTGCGCCAGCGATAGTCATGGCCAAAGGCATTATGTTTTTGGTTTGTCCGTCCGTCCATCTGGCCCATAATTGTGAAAGCGATATGTTTACATCGATTATTTTTTTATTTCATTACTTTTTAGAGTAATTTGAATGTCTCCCACAGAAGTGCCACCCTGGTCTAGGGGCCCCCTGACCCCTTGGGCCCCTGGGCCTGTGCCTGGGAGGCCCGTTCAATAATCCATCCATGGATATAGCCTCAAAATGACTTAGATGAACACAGTGTGTGGGCAGTGTGTGGGCTGTAATCTTCCTACAATAAGCTGCAGTCACTGGGTCATATCAAGAGCAGGTTCATTCTGACAGAACTGAATGTGAAGCAACGATTGTGCTCAGTGTTTTCTACTGTGTTAAACCATACTGATTATCCTTATCACTGATGTCAGTATTGAATTTTACTTGTAATTATGGGGGGAAATGTTGTTGCTGCAGTACATAAGAGCAACAAAACGAAATAACCCATACATTTCCAGAACTGTTTTCTGCTGCACCGGTTCCCTGATAACAGATTCAATAGAAACACAGTATCATCATCACAAGGCAGACTATTATAGCCATCTAAATGGGACTCGAGCTGCAATGGAGCCAGACAGATCACACAGGGCCCGAGGAGTATGCCGCTGACGCCACAGTCTGACCCAACTCTGCACAGAGTGGAGCTGCCGTGCTGTTCTAAGTGGGGCTGACATGCCACATACGCTGCTGTGAGAGTTTAACACTGCAGCTGTCTGCTCTCGTTGCAGCTGGCCACCTCACACTTCCTGCCTGCCGGCCTTTCCGTGATCCGCCGGCCTGTCTAACATTCAGCTGTCACACGTTTTGCATGTCACAACATAAACCTGTGGTGAATAAAAGATTTGGAAGAACTTGTAATACATAAAACACATTCAGCTGGTGGCAGTTTCATACGAAGAAGTCTTCTGGGAAGTCAGAAGTATTAAAACACAGTGGAGAAAACAGAAAACAGAGGCTCTTTCACTTTAAGTGTCTACTGCAGCAGTTTCTTGTCTAACTGCTGAATGTCAACCTAGTAACTCTGACTGTAATTACAATAAAATGCTGTACTTTAATCATGTAAAATACTGAACAAAACACCATTACTGAAAAAGTGACCAATCCTAAAACGTGGACCGTGTGAGGTTGGTATTGCATGTTTTAGCCCATTAACTGACATTTATATTGGGGAAACTGCCAACTTTCATATTTCCTGGGGCTGACGGTCCATCACGGTCAGCCACAACTTCACTTTGTAAATATTACATTATCACCACCACTATCATTACTGAAACGATGTGGTCTGCAGGCTGTAGGGCATACATTCTCAGGAATCTCTGGCATTTGAGACTTAAAGGTGTTCTTTTGACTTTACTTGCAAACAGAATGATATTTACTTTCAGCGTTTCTCGTCAAAACGTGCAGTGAGGTTTTAAACAAAAAAATTTGCAAAATTGATTTTCTGAATAGTTAAAATTTTGCAATTCCAGCTAGTAGTCGTCATCTTCTTTGTCTTTGCTGGTGGGTTACTCTGCCTTTTTGTGCATAACCATCACCACATCAACCATCATGCAGAATACAAACAACACAGTGAGGCATTTGTAAAAACTGCTCCACAGTGCACCTTTAAGAGTCTGAGCCAGAGTAGCTCCTTCACTCATTACGTACAGCGTGTCGTTGTTGAGCCAAACAGAAAAACTAAAATGTTTTCTTCTTCTATTAAAATGACTCTGGAGGATTTTACCTAATGGTGGTGCTGAAATAAACGTCTCATCACATACTGTATAGTGCATGAATACATTAAATGTGTGTATGTATGTACAGTAAAATTTGCAAATGAACTGTTGAGTACAAGATGTGGCTGAGAGCTCTGGAGAACATTGAGTGGACTGCGCAATAAAACTAGAATAAACAAACAAGTTTGTGTTGGAAACTAATCAGTGAGAGATACTGTGTGATTTAAACGGTCCAAAACATGCAAACGTACATACTACTAATTATAATACTGAGATGTTTAAATCCACTCTAGTCAAAGGAAAACACTGCTTTTGTTGTGGTAATGTTGGAATGTTAATTGTTACAGGACAGGACAGTAACACCTGCCCTTTCTCTGCTTTTATAAAATTTAATTTAGCCTTATTTACAGTTTTCGGCTATTTGACATCCTTTCCACTAGATCCTGAAAATGCATCTTTTGGTCATCTACAGACAAACAACTAGCTGATGATGTGAGTCTCTATTTTAAAAGAGCCTGCAGCTTAGTATTTTTAACAGCAGAAGAAATAGTGTTCTGTGACAAATGGGTCAGGAGAAAAAAGAAAATGGCCGAAAGGCAAAAGCAGAGGGTTCATAAAGCCAACTCCTACCATAAAGGGGGATTTGCTTTTCCAAGAGATAACTGGAGTGACACTGATAGTTCAAACATTATTTCCACAGGAAAGACGCAACCCCCCCCCCCCCTTCTCGCCCACACAGGGTGATTTCCTCAAGTCACAAAGAACAAAGAACAAAGAAGAGAGAAAGTGCAGCTCGGGATTGTGGCCCCTCGAGTCCTCCTTGAAGGATGGTCTCCAGTTTTTCAAACCCTCCACTGATATACTACATAACACACACATATGGCGACTCCACAACTTTGTCTCTTTGCATTTGTCCACTGGATTGTTTCAAGACATTATTTTATGGTTTTTGCAATTGGCACTTGACAAATAACTAAATAAATAAATATATAGAACACCATCAGTAGCTCCCAGGCTGCCCATCGGTCTGAGGAAGCATCAATCCCCTCCCTGGCTGCTCACCGTCTTCCTATCACCTCATCTGATTTCCTTGAGTTTAAGAGAAACAAGAATCCAACAACTGCTGCAGCATTTTCTGGAGGAAAGTGTTAGAGGGCGTGCATGTCACTTACAGAATGTGCACAGGTGTGTCTATTAGTGGATTTATGTGTATAAATATTGATTTGGGTATTGTTTGGAGCTGCTGTTTGGCGTGTGGTTTAGTCCAGCGAGAGCAGCGGCTGCATGTTGTCTTCTTCACTCTTGACCTTGTCTGGTCGTTTCAGGACGCCAGGCTCCACCACCGACTGAGACCTGCAGGGGCACAGAGCACACAGTCATTAGCTTTAGTGTGTCTTCACAGGCTCTGAGTTTCTAATGAGACCTCAGTAGAGCCAGTTTCAAAACAAACAAAGTCTAGAGGCCAGTGTTCGCTTTACAGTGTGAAGTGTAACTTTTGGTTGGTTTGGGCAGGCAACATTTTGTCTTGGGTCTAACATTACCGAGGGTCCAACTGTCCTCACGAGTCTGATCAGGTCTGTTTTTAAAAAATTATTTTACTTTTGGGTAGTTCCTCCACAAGTTACAGCAACACCGCTCTAAGTTAAAGGTATTAAGCTACACTACAAACCGCTCCAAAAGTAGTTAGACACAATGAAGTTATTTCACACCAAGACACATCAACTGTTAAATAACAAACTGAAGAAAACGGAAAAACATATACGCTACTAATACAAATGTATACAAACCATTTCTGTGAAAATTTTATAAATATCAAATGCTTTGTACTATTTGTATGTACTAGAATGATGTCAGATACATGAAATGTTAAATATACATGAGTAAGTTAGTAAATGGTTTTTTTTACATAGTCAAATGTTTGACTTTGTATCCAATAATTTGCTGTAAGATTTTTATTTACAAAAAGCTTCCAGGTATAAATGAGCCTCCATACCGTTACCTCATACCTACAAGTACAACAAATAATCATACTGAATGAAACCTGTGTGTGTGAATTCTCAGGCGTGTTTGTTTTTACATGTAGCTGTGTAACTGTCAGATCATTTATAACTGACTTATCGGTTATTGATTATTGCTGATCTGCAGCGACAGTCGTACTGTTGCTCGTCTTCCATAGCGTCAGTGTCTTTAAGTGAATGAGCCAGATGGTGTCACAGTGCACAGATGATTTACTGTCATAGTGAATCACACAGCGTGGCAGCACTCAGACACACTCACAGCAGCATCAAGCCAAAGAACAAACAAACAATTAGCTTGATCTAGAGCTAAAACTCTAATATATCAGATTTAATGGCAACATTCAGTGTCAAAATGCTAAATGCAATTCAGTGGCAAAGATAAGGAGCCAGAAATAACAGAATTACAACAGACAACTACTGTTCATTTGTTTGTTTCATGAATTTGACCATTTACCATATTGTTTAATTCTGATAATTTTTATTTATTATTTTTATTGCTATTGTTCACAGCTTCATTAGGTTTAGTTATTCATTTATCTATATAGTATATTTACATTTTGTTATGCTTTACAGTTTTTTCTGCCTACTGTCTGGGGGAAAAACACAGGAAACACTTTTATATCTGAGTCAGTAACATTATTTTTCCTGTTAAATAAAGAAATGGATGTATAGGGTAATCAGACATCATTTGAACAAGTTCATCCTCTGTTGTCGAGGCAAACATGCCAAGAAATAGGAGGAAGTCTGAGATAAGATCTACACATTATCTCCACTATTATCTCATTTGTTTACAATAATGACTTCAAGATAACACAATTACAGTAGCTTGACAATTCTATATATATGTTGAGTGAAAAATCAAATACTGCTGTAGGGTTTGTTTGCCCATGCAGCTGTGTTTAACCCCTTTCTCATATTTGTATTTCTTTTTTTTTTTTTTTTTAACTGTCTGCTTCACTTAGTGTAGAATTTAGAAAAACATCTGGTTCAAATCCCTGCAGCAGTTGGAAATACTTTGGGTGGTGTCCATAAACCTCTGCTTGAGCAAAGCCAGAACTTGGCCTTACAGAGGTCTCACTGACACATGAAGGTAATTATAGAAAAGGAACAGTAAACACAACAGGCTTGGATGAGCTGACCTCTTCATGGTTTTGGGGGACAGGTTCTTCTCCAGGTCTCTCTCCAGGTCTTGTACTGACAGAGTGTAGGACTCCGGGCAGTAGTCAGTTTCCTCATCGTAGGCGTGGTCCAGCAGCGTCCTCGCCCACGTCCCCATATCGTAAGGGGGCATCATCCCACCGAGCTCCGATGGCAAAATCTCAGGGTGGATCAGCTGGTGGAGGCTGTTCAGGTTGTTACCGTGCATGAAGATCTGCACAGAAAAAGTGTTACATGTATATGACTGGGTTTAAAATGTCAGTGCAAGCTGGACTAGAGTAGATCCAGTGCTGTTGAAAAAAATCATAGCTAGTTTAATGCCAGCTCTTCAGGCCTTACCCTCTTTCTGGTCTTGTCTTTGAGGAATGGCCGAATGACCGTGTAGAGCGCGTGGATGTACCAGGGCTGGTTCACAAAGTGGATCCCTCCAAACCTGGCAGGAAAACTGTCCTGTTGGACACAAACAACAATACAGGTAAACACAGGTGGCCAGGAATAATCCCATCCAGTTCATCCACATTGAAAACAGAGGAACGGTGAAACGGGGTCTTTAATTTCACTGTCTGTAGCAGCAACTGAATGCTCCAAGATGACAGGATGTTTCTACAGTTTACTGTTTGCTTTGATATAGAATGCATGGATTTAGTCTATATGCACCACAGAGATTTCAAATTAAAAGCTCACTCTATAGGTAACAGCTCACTATATAAGTAATACATTTAATAAAATATTTAATTTAAAAAGCACCTAGTGTGTTATGAAGGTACTGAGCTGTGCATCAACAACTGTTTTGCCCTGCAGGTGAAGTAATGCTACTGCTATTTCTGTCACAAATGAAGCTCGTGTGTCTTAGAATTCATATTAAATGGTATCATTACTTCCTAAATGTGAAGTATTTCTTTTTCAAACTGAATTTTGGTACAAGACATCAGATAAAATGTCAAGTGTAAATCAAAGAGTTAACATAGTGATTGTGTTTATGTCACCGGCAGAGAGGAAGTGGTTTACAAGAAGATTTTAAGCTTATTTTAAATACATGCACACAAACAAATAAGCGCTGAATACAGCACATACTCAACTCGACATCTTAAACTGTTACAAACCAAGAGGAGGCATAGACTGAATGATAAGAGCGACCAGTGTCTTAGAAAAACTATAATTAATAAACGTTGTGTTTTATTACAAATAAAGAGCCAGTCTCAATCAAGGGGTTGTTTTCAGTCTCCTTTGAGTTCCAGCAACTAAAAATGACTGAACTGAGATGAATTTAATCCCTTTTCATTTGATTAGTTTTGTAAATGGGCTCCAATCTCATATCGAGTAGGAAATGGCTCGACATGCTTTGGAGCTACTGCAGAGCACAAGGCCTGAGGGAAATGAGTCCTGGTTCCAGCACTGTGTGGAGTTCGGGCCTGACAGGGCGTTTCCTAGAACACCAGACACAGTTATGATAATTAGGCTCCACTGTGTGTATGAGAGTCATACTTTGGCTGCAGTATGGTGAGATTATATTCTGACATAAACAGAGCTGGTTGATGAAAAAGACATTTCTATAAAATCTGTTAGCAGCAGCGTGTGGGAGAGACGGAGGCAGTGACGGCCTCTGAGGTCAGGGCCAGCTTTGGAAATTAGACTTTGATCAATGTGACTCATCAAGTCAGCGGTTTTGCTTTGTCAGCAGGGACGTCAGCTGCCAGACAGTCCAACAGTTTGATCCTCTGTATGCATGTAGCGACACTATGCAACCGTGTACCGAGATGTGCAGCTTCACATCTGCAGGTTTCAAAAGATGTCGGTTACAGTAATAAAAAGACTTGTACTGGTTGAGCGGCCCCTCCTCCCCTCAGCCGCCAGCTCCCTCTGGACTCCTCGGAGTCTCAACCTCTGGTCTGCTCTCTGCTCTGACAGACATTTTCACTTTGATGACGGGAATGTCTGCATTATACATGATACGCTGAAAATGGAGTAGGAGCTGCATGAGCAGTGCTGCACTGGACAGACTGGAGGAGGAGGAGCCGCCAGCGGTGTCTGACAGTGGATGAATAAATGCTGCATGTAAGAAGAAAATATTCAAACAAAAGGGCATCGTAGTGAGAATAACAGACTGAAAGACGTGAGGCGAGCAGCAGCTGAAGGTCGACAATGAAAAGGGTTCCCAGAGTGATGGCTACAGCTTTAGGAGAAGACAGAGAGACAACACCGTTTAGATGCACCATCATTGTTCAGAAGGTTTGGAGCATGTGCAGTGAACAAGGAACACCAGAAGTGGCACTCGTGTGTGGTCACTGTTCTCAGTATTAAATTCAGTAAATGTCCAGTTAACTCAGTAAAGCTGATGTTCACATCCCCTCAGTCGACTGAGCAGATACATCTTCCTGCAGCGGACCAGGTCTCTCACATTCAGATTCTGGCTTATTTTTCCTAACAGCACATTGTCATCTACAGGCAAAACAAGACCAGAGCATCAATAAATACTGTTCCATCTGCGTGCTGCAATTAGATCTGAAATGGTCATAATTTTAATGTGTTGGTCTAATTAAATTGTTTTAGATTTTTCTTAGATAGCGGGTTGTGTTAAGGTGCCATTTAGGTGAATGCTAGGATGGAATCTTTTATTATTATACTGTATTAGAACATTTTCATTCATGATTTTATGCCTTTCTATCTGTAAAACACTGTTATTGGTCTGTAACTCACTGTTGCTGCTGCCCATCAGACCACAGGGAATCGCACAGTTTGTAAAAACATGTGAAAACTGAAACAACAAAGCCAAGCCGTAGTTAGCTGCAGTACATGACGACAATTTGACAATTTGGCATAAAATCTAACAGAAATCATGTTGGTGAAGGAGATGGTTTCACTCTCACTGAGCTGAGGCTGAAATATTTGAACTGTGGTGAATAAAACAGCTCAAATATTCAGTAAATATGAATCACTTCCACAAACCTCCACGCACAACCACTTCACCACCTTCTCTGATGCTGATCCTGAGCAGACAAGTGACTGTAGCCGTATATTTTTGGATTCTCGTTTCCGGTCACTGCTGAGTGCGTTGATGCAGCAGAAGGTTCAGGTGACAGGAGACGCAATCAGTTCAGTCACAAGCAATTTGTCTTCCTATACACCTTGTTGCTTCATCTCTCACCACTCCTGGGCGCCTGTGGCTCCACTGAACGGGATAAACACATTAAAAATGACTTTCCCTTCAGAGCTGGAGTCGCTGTAGGAAAAACAGCAAACGCCTCCTGCTTTTTAAGCAATCGTAACCTGGAGCCACCAGCTGCAAAACGCAGCCAATCTTATTGGTGATGGTCTTTGTACAGTAACCGTCATAATGACTCAGAATGAATCTTCTTTAGAAAAGGAGAAGAAGTGAAATTTAAAATCATAGCACTCTTCTTGCAGCAAGGAACAGACGTGCAGAACAGCAGTCTTTGCTGCACTTGGAACAACAGGGCCGTGTGTGCTTCAGTTAATGCTTGAGTAAATAACTATAACATGCACCATTGATGATGTACCATCATGTCTGAATCGAGCCAACAGCAGATCCTGAATGAAGGGCTCCGTTACAGATTCAAGACAAGGCAAAGATTTACAGCAGGTATAGACAAGAGGAGAGCACGTTTGGGCAGAGTGTTTGTGCACATTCTCTAGTCTCACTTTTCTTTGGTGTGTTTGGCTCCGGGTCTTTCTCAGGGTACAGTAAAAGCAAACTGGTACCTGCAGTTCAAACCCTGCAACATTTACAAAAAAGAACTCATTCAGCCAGCTCCAGTATGACTGAAAGGACTCTGCCTGTAAAGGTATTATGTAACTGTCAGGTCAGGTAAATGTAACACCTGTAGTGATGCATGATTAAAAAACAGCCAAGCTGAGAGAACAAACCTGTGACTAGCAGCAGGTACATTTAGGTGATCTACACACTTTCCTACCAAAATATCTGATCGTGCTGTTTAAACTCCAGCTGTAGTGACTAAATGATTAAACCTTTAATGGTTATGCTCAGGCACCCACAGCTAGCGTTGTAGTCGAGTCACTAAACCTCTTGAACATGGAGTATTGTACGAGCTCTACAAACCGTGGATATAAACTGAATCTGGCAAAAAGCTCGGGCTCACACTTCTCATTAGAAGGAAGCGAGTCAGCATCTAACAACAACAACCAAACACACACCTCGGATTTACACACACTAACCTGATTCTGGCAAAGAAGCCCCATCAACCATCCTAATGAGTCATATGACTGAATCAGCACATAACAGAATTAAACAATTAAGCTGTAAATGTATTTTCTCATGCAACATAGAACAAATCCATTAGACACTGAAGCTCAGGTACAAGTGCAGCAGGAGGATGAGAACGAACGGACAGATGGAGTGAGGCTGCTCTGTGATGTGCAAAGTGATTTTTTTTATGGCTGAACCTGCAGAAGCCGGAACATCAGGTAGAACAGCGGCAGGCTGCTCATTTATTATTTAGTTTGTCAAATGGGAGATGTGACAGCAGCAGCCAGATGCAGGATGGAACCGGATGACGGGAACGAGATTCACATCCTCCCAGTCAGAGACGCTGAGGGCGAGACACGGGAAGGAGGGAGCTTCAGTTCATCTTCTCTGCTGCTGACAGATCAGCTGATTCAGGAGGCAAAGTTTGTTTGATTCCAGCTGCCATATTTCGTCAGCTGAGTTTTAAAATGGTAGTTGGAGGAGACGCAAAGCCCACCACTTCAAACAGAATCCACCAGGATAAAAAATTATTCTTCTACAGACACCGAGTTGATCTATCAAGATTCACAACTGGGTTTTTCCATCTGCTGTAATTTTGTTTAGAGGTTAAAGCTTTGTAGAGCTGGAAACATTATAAATCCCAATGGTTTAATACTGCATTTGACCCCTTTGTAATTTAATTTTGTCCTTTTGAAATTTTAAATTGTCTGAATTTATAGTTTTGTCCTTTTATGACAGAGTAAATACTGAGACAAATGCAGAGTATGCTCCATAGTCGTTAAATAAAATTGATTGAATATAGTAATATACTAATCAAATTCACTAATCAGTATAAGAACCATATATCCTGAAAGAAGGGCCCCGCAGTCACTGCGCCTGAGGCTTCTTCCATCTTTATCCAATTAGAGTCTAACAGAGGGAAGTGCACAGGATGCTGTGTCGACTGTAAACCCCTGGAGGCAAAAGTCTGCTTTGAGATATTAGGCTATAAATAAAAATTTACTCCACTATACAAAAATGTATCAGTCGTGCACAATTGTCCAAGTATCTTGCCGTAAAACTACACACAAAGTATTTCATATAGAAAACCTGTAAGAACAAGAATCTTGGGATTCTTCTGGATTTTACTACAGGAGAAAAAGGTTGTCTTTTAAAAAAAAAACATGACACTGAGAGTGTGTAAGAGGCCAACACACAATTTGTAGCTGTCCTAAACTTATAAATG